TGGGGTAGTCTTGTATATATAAGACGGTTACAAAGTGACGGCAACAATATGTGTAATTGAACTCAGTATTGTTAAGTCGAGTACGTGAGACGTTCGTTGAGAATTATAGCGTTTGTTATAGCGCGACTGTTGAAAGTAAGTGTATCGCAAAGTTATATTCAGAAAGAATAAATTGGTTTTATTTAAGAAAGGACTTGTGTCGCTAAAGTTTCGTCGGAACGAATTTTACGGAAAATTAACTAACGAACGGAGGCGTAACATTATTTAGAAAATCTCAGATAAAATTAAGAAAATAAAATGGAAGCCTCGTGATGAGATGAAACGTCACCCACATAGTTTTAAGTCATTCTTAGCTTTATCCTCGTGTGCTATTTAAAAGGGAGTTTTAAACAAATTCCGTATTGTAGGTGTTACTAGAAGAAGATGACCATGTGTTATATTGGATATTTCAGAATGGTATTTGTTGGAATAGAGTTTTGAATTGGTATCACAGCATAAGTATAAGTAGTCTCCCCTCCCATATACTGGCCATAAAGCACGTATTGCTTTAAACAACTCGTACACAAGCGAAGAGTGATTTATGTTTGTTAAACACCTTGGGGTTTTACCATCATGTGGTAACAGAGAAACTTTTAATCTAATGGCACATTCGGCGTTTAGTAATGTTTTCCCACATACTGGTTTTAGAAGATTTCATATTTGTGGCATATTGATTGCTTAACTTTGTTTTAGCATACCCTGAATTTTTAATGATACATTCTGTGTATGTTTTAAACTCGGGTCGGATTGCACTCAAATGTATATATTCCACTTAAATGTGTATATTTCTATATATGAATGTATATACTGCTGCACCTATATGTGTATATTTCTATATATGAATGTATATACTGTTCCACCTAAATGTGTATATTTCTATATATGAATGTATATACTGTTCCACCTAAATGTGTATATTTCTATATATGAATGCATATACTGTTCCACCTAAATGTGTATATTTCTATATATGAATGTATACATATTATTATATGTGGATTTATATAGTTACCACGTAATGTGTGTACTGTTTCATGTAAATGCTATATTATGCTCTTTCAAGAAAACAGTGTACATATTTGGAGTAAAATGTTTGTTTAATATATGTTAATGAATAGTTTAACATTACATTTTCCCATGTGTAACTTACACTTTCTCAGTGAGCTTTATATATGTTTGTTTTTATACGTGTCTAACACATACACCTTGAAATTGGTCTTTTCCAATTATATCAAGAAGCGTCATTACAAATATTCAGTGACATCAAAGAATAAATCCCCAGAAATAATCCTATATTTGTTTACAAAACGATGTCACGTGACTCCATCGCTCATTGTGTTCGTTAAGTTTCATTTCTTAGAATTTTTTTACGGGGTTGCTAAGCAACAGTGGGTCATTTCCGCTGTACCTGTTTGTAACCTACATGGCACTCACGTGTTCTTCGAAGAAACAAGTCCAGGTAAAGCATCGCTAGTTACACAAGTAAACTTAATGTTGTATATCTCTGATCATAGCTAGCTTCTGATCAACATAGAGGGACCACAAATTAGAATTTTCATTTCTTTCTGATTTATTGATAAATTACACGAGTCTGGGACATTTGTTACTATTCATTTGTTTTACATTGTTATCGATTATACATTAAAAGCCCTCCCAGTGGCTCAGTGATAAGCTTTTGGTGCTTATAATGCTAAAAATCCGGGTTCAATACCCGCGGTGGAAACACTGTAGTTAGCCTGTTGTCTAACTTTACACTTTAAATATATATATACACATATACGTTAAAAACATAATATCCAATTAAAATACCAAACATCGTGTGTAAGATAGTGGGGAAAAATTTACTTAAAATATATGAACAAATATTTTTTTTTGTGTGTGTTTACTGAACCTATTAACTTTTCTTCAGGACTTGATTTAACTGTTTGATTAAACTAGTAGTATATTTAAAATATCCATTTGTAATAAGAGCAACACAAAACTGGCCTGTCATATTTCTCTTTAACTTTCTTCTCCTTTGGCGCAGATAGCCTAGCTGCTTTGCGCCATAAAACACCAACCAACCAACTCCTGGCGAATGGCCTGATTCCTACAGTACGCGACAATACAAACGCCATCATTTTACTATTCATCAACGTTCCTCATTTTCCAGAGGTGAAATAACACATTCAAGTTATGTTTTGAATCCAAATATTTTACTCGCCACAAATGAGCTCTGTATTTTGATTAACCCTAAACGTCTGTAGTAATGGATTATTGTATTTTCATTAACCCTAAACGTCTGTAGTAATGCATTATTGTATTTTCAATATCCCTAAACATCTGTAGTAATGCATTATTGTATTTTAATTAGCTCTTAAACGTTTTAAATAATACATCCAAAGAAATATACATCAACGACTACTGTTAAGGACGGGAGCTAGTTTATGAGTTCTCTAACTGAAGTATGTTTATTTGTTGTTCCTTTCATTAATAATATTGATATACTAATTACTATATCGAATATAATTGCTTACATTTTAATTTGCCCTTAGTTATTAAACTTGTATCATAAATATTGATTTGCATTGTTAGCTTAAAGTCTGTATCTAGTACTAACTGAAGCCTCCTAAACTGGCCGAACCTCGTGAGATATTATTGGGTTTATGGCCGAAAACATCACTGTATGTTTATTAGCCCTAAGTGTCTGTAGTAATACATTATTTTTATTAGCTCAAGATATAGAAATCCGTTGATTTACCTGTCAGTTTCCGAGTCTATCAAAAGAAAATTGTGAATTTATTAGCTACTTATAATTTTACTCTTTTTGTGAAAGCTCTAACAATTTTCTTATGGTAGAAATTGTTTGTCTGTAAAGTGGATCTTTCCTAAATACATCTTTAAGAAATAAATGATTTTAAAAAATATATTTGGAAATTCAGTTATAATTATTTGCGAGTTTCATTTGCTTGATGTTTTTAAACAATTTTGAGGACATTACTTTGGTTCTGTTTATTAAATTTAACCATGATATTCATTATTTGTTAGGACTTTGGAAAGATCACTATCACCCTGACCAGGATGGGCCAGTAAGAGCGGTTTGGCTATCACCCTGGCTGGGATGAGCCAGTAATAACGGGTTTGACTTTTATCTTCGTCGGGACGAGCGAGTAAGAACAGTTTGGTTAGTACCCCTGACTTGGATGAGCCAGAAGTGATTCCACTGAACCCGCTCTGCACACAGAGTTGCGGGTGCGTTATAAAAGTGAAAGCAAATCCCTTTATTTGGTTCAAAGAGTCGGAACAAATCCCCTGAGGCGGCAGGTGCTGCTGACTGGCAACCTTATAAGATTAAAAATTAGAGACAACTATATCTGAATCCGAAAGTGCTTCACATTGAAAATTCCATTTCCTAAACAGTTGTAAAACTAGCGTCAATGACAATGAAATTCAAGTAACTCCAGCTGTTGACACTCTAGTGGGAATACTGTTTCAACAACAACAATTCTGAGAATATTTTAAATAATACAGTGACTTATTCTGTACTGGAAATATTTTGATAAGTTGGTGGTTCACTCTTGTACGTAATTGCCCCCCCCTTTTTTTCCCCCGTCATCTGCTTGTCAAATATAAAATACTTATAATACACGAAAGTTTTCTGTTTTGGTGATGTTTTAAGAAAATTTTCAGATTTTTTTCTGAAGCTCTTTAATAGGTGGATATCCTGTTTATACTATCACCGTCATCTGATGGTGAATTGCTAAAACTTACTCCAAATATTTACCCTAAATATGTCTTGTATTTCTCAATGAAAATAATTTCCAAGTTTTAGAAAAGAAAGAGAGAACTTTCTGTGACTAGAAGTCACGTAAGAAACTGATAAATCAATGTGTTAGCAAGTTAAATTGTTAAATAAGTGACATTACTGTAACTTATGAGTCGTTATGGTTAATAAAACGCGTTTCACTAGGAAGTTGTCAGTAACAGTCATCAGATGACCACTTTTTATTATAAAAAAACCAACCAGAATGCTTTTATTTTTTTGAAAAATATAACATTTATTTTTTTTCCACAAAAGTTCATAGATTAAAAGAAAAATAATCTGACTTAAACTTTTTCTTTCTCAAATTAAATAGACCGAAATATTTCTCATCATACCAAAAAAACTTATTTATAAGTACAAAAACACATTTTCAAGCAGTATATAACACTTTAGAAAATTTGAGCTTATTTAATCCTTGTTAGAGATAGAAGAATAAGCTTCAGAATATTTAAATTCTATGAAACGTGAAAATTTAGCTTTAAAACATATAACGAAACTAAAGACTAGTAATAACATTATGTGTACAAAATCTCTCCCATACAGAGCTGATATCGATATTCATCTCAATAATAAGTTAGTAGCGTCAATGTTGCATGTTCTTTCTGTTTCTACGTGAATATGGATCACTGAGTGATTAAAATATATATCAAAACACCTTACATATAATAATAATAATATGTACTCCGCCACTACAAAAAGCCTAGTCTTGTTCTTTCGATTTGCCCTTGTCAAGGGTTACTGGTGAGAGAAATTTCCTGAAACCTGTGTAACTCAGCACAAGGAGTAAGTCAAAGGATAGATTAGGCTTCACATTTATTTTTAATATGTCAGATTGATTTTAAAAATCACCAGTATAGTAAACCAAACACAAAACTAGCTCTGCAAAGATTTTGTCGCTTATACAAAAACAGTAAAACAAACCGAAATGTAAGAGCACTTTGCATTAGAAACAAAAACAACCTCAAAACGGACCATACTTATAGCTTCTCAACATTTACATATGCAAGTAAATAATTTCTCTTGTACATCTTGGCTGCATCTCCGATCTTCACCAGCCGCCTTACATGATCATACAAACGGTTTAGCGGAGTGGAACATTGGATTCAGTAGCTACTCACTCTACCAAAAGATGGCAGTACTGATCAGTTAATACAGCTGTCCACAAGATCAGAAAGTGTGTCCAGATACCATAATCTGACAACCGTTCTTAAAAACGTGTTCCACCACGTGTTGTTTCAGGGTGCACACTTAGTCTCGTATTTTGTTTACAACTGACCCTACATCGTTATTTTCAGTTTAAAACTGTTCACAAGATCAGAAAGCGTGGTTAGACACCATAATCTGACAACCATTCTTAGCGTGTTCCATCACGTGCTGTTTCAATGTGCACACCTGGTCTCGTAGTTTGTTTACAACAGATCCTAGATCGTTATTTTCGGTTTTCAGTTGAGCAACCTTCTCCTCGAGCCGACTGATCCGCTCCAACTTCCGGCGACGACACTTGCTGGCCGCTATTCTGTTTCGGAGCCGTTTCCTCTCAAGTTTGATTCTCTCCTGGTTTTCCATGTTGATGGGAGACATTGGTGGAGACTGGCCGAGATTGGGCACTGTCTGGGGCTCATCTTTCACGTAGCCATTCGTGACGGGTAAAATCGTGCACGTACTACTGCTAGACACTACCAAGTTTTCTTCTGTAGCTGCGACGGGCTGAGGGACAACGCTGCCGGCGCTGGGCGCTGTGGCTTGGTGCAGCTGATTCAAGGCGTCCACAAAACCCCGAGCGTACTGTTCTTGCTCCTCCGTGACGCTCCGAGAGAAAGGGTATTGCGTCGGGGTCGGAGTAGTCGTAACCAGTCCGTTGTGGGTGATTATTAACCGTTCTAGCTCTGGTGATTCTAACTTCAACATGTTAAGGTCTGGCGAAGTGAGTAATATATTCATTTTCTGTTTTTTACTATACTTGGACTGATTCAAGTCTAGAGTTGCCGGTCGCTTCAGAGTTCCATACTCATCCCGAGAGCGGGCGAAACTGTTGTCATAGAACGTGGTTTCCATCGTGATACTCGTCTCACGTGTGATTCGCAACAAACGAAACTAGTCTTGCTCACACGACGGAAGTGTTACTAACTAGGCTTAAACAAGCACAGAGAGCGGTATTTACGATACGAACCGTCGGTCGATTCACAATACATCCAGTCTCAAGCCTTACTGTGCCTTATAACGCTGAGTCAGGCTACTAAATTTAACAAGATGATGTCATTGTAGATGTTGTTGATTGGTAGAAGCTGACATCACTTTATCGTAACGTCATCCACTTCGTGGACTCGAGACTACCGAGAACTAAGTATGTGTTAAGGTGTGACTTGCACGCGTAACAACCAATCAGAATATACGAATACAGATGACGTTGGGTTGGGAGCGCGGAGGTCAAGATCCAAAGAATACAGCATTCGATAAAGAGAACCTTCGCTAGAGCATTCTTGCCATTATTTGAATAACAGGTGAAAAAAAAGCGACATCTTTACAATAATCTATTTTCATTATCGAAAATAACTCAAAGATTCACAATTATTAACCATTAGTAAAAATTACATTCAAAGTTCCTTTCTTTATGCATTCCAAGAATTCCATTTCTATCGTATATAACTTCTGATAAACAAGTTACTCACATACACTAGAACTGAAAAAACTAAGATATCAACTAAATCAGTTACTGTTTCATATAATACTTCAGTTATACATTGGGTGTTACTGTTCTGTGTGTTATTTTACCTGTACATTAGGTGTTACTGTTCTGTGCGTTATTTTACCTGTACATTATGTGTTACTGTTCTGTGCGTTATTTTACCTGTGCATTAGGTGTTACTGTTCTGTGCGTTATTTTACCTGTACATTAGGTGTTACTGTTCTGTGGGGTATTTTACCTGTACATTAGGTGTTACTGTTCTGTGTGTTATTTTACCTGTACATCAGGTATTACTGTTCTGTGCGTTATTTTACCTGTACATTAGGTGTTACTGTTCTGTGCGTTATTTTACCTGTACATCAGGTATTACTGTTCTATGGGGTATTTTACCTGTACATTAGGTGTTACTGTTCTGTGGGGTATTTTACCTGTACATTAGGTGTTACTGTTCTGTGGGGTATTTTACCTGTACATAAAATGCTACTGTTTTATATAATACATCAAGTTTAGGTGTTAGTTTAGCTTAGCATAAAAAGAAAATGTTTACTGAATGAAGCATGTTTCTTAGAAAGTGGTCGTCCTATATGAACCGTTATATTACCTTTTAGGAATTATAAAAAGATTGTTCAATTCCAAGTGTGAAACGTTTGATTTCATTGACTTATCTGTTACTTCTCTCATTGTTTGACAGAAGTTAATAACCATATGTTTTACGTCCAAGTGTGGAACGTTTGATTTCATTGACTTATCTGTTACTTCTCTCATTGTTTGACAGAAGTTAATAACCATATGTTTTACGTCCAAATTTAGAGTTTTGTCATCTAGACATGTGTCGTTTAGGATAACTAGTTATGTAAGGGGAGAAAATTTACCAAATATATTAATAATTCACAAGTAAAACTTAGTAGCATCTAGGAAACGTAATCTTGCCCTTCACGAGCCCTCGTAAAATACTATTTAATATATAACTTATTTTATTTAATATTTCTTTAACTCAGTCCCGGTTCCAGCTCTTTTGAAACGCTAAGTGGGGGGAGGGGGGGGAGGGGGGAGGGGGGGGGGAGTTATGAATCGAATAATGGGGGCCAAATTTAATATAAATCTAAAATCAGATTAATGAACGACATTAGCATGGGGAAGCCAATGACACTTTATCCCCCTGCTTTTATTCTTACTCTGTATTCGTTGTGTTCAAACTTAATCACTTTAAAAGGTTAGATTTAGTGACGGTAGGTGTTCTTTGTTATCATCCGTTATACACGCTTATCTTTCTATAAACCTTTTTTAACAAAGCTTCTCTTTTTTTAGAATCCCACCGTTCTGGTGACAAAAGCCAAAGTTCACTGATATTCATTTGGAGACATTACGCTATTAGATAAACGACCGTTTGACCACATCGTGCCACTGCGAATCTATGATAGTTCTATAATAACATTTAAAAAACAAGTAGACGTGTTGTTGTTTCCTAACTTTTGGACCCTGCTTATCTAAAGCCTCGAATCAAAAATCTTTCTGAATTATTACGAACTAGTTTCAACTTAGTTTATTTACTGGCAATCATAAAAAAAAGAAACTGTTGATTATTTTTAAAACAAAAACTTCTTTAAGGATTAAACGTTTCCAGGAACCAGGTTGTTGGTTAGATTTTGGTACACGAAGTTCGAAAGCGAAAGCTGCAAAAAAGTCAACGAAAACTTTGTATTTCATAATACTGTCTTATGTATATGAAAGTTCCTTTTTACAGCCTCTGTTATAC